CGCCGAAATCCACGACTATTTGCCGAAATCCACGACAATCCGCAAAAGCACTTGCAAGTTACAAAAAAGCTAGGCTTTGACTAGATAACCGACTCCAGTACTCAAAACTGAAATGGGCCTGGCTAGGTAACTTTTGATTGATTCGAGCAGCGGTAATTTGCCGATGAATTTTAGCAAGCTAGTCAATAACTCAATAAGTAGATTTCTCGGAGATTGTAGCAGTTTGTGGCAGTTTCTTTGCACTTTGCTCTGTGAGAATCAACAAAATTACCGTAGATGGTCTCCGGATAAGGTTATGGAACTGCAAACCGGAGAAATATCCGAAGAAATATTAGTTGACGATCTCCGTCCAATAATTTGGCATAATATCCGCTATGGAACTGGGGGTAAGAAGGGGTAAGGGGGGGGGGGGGGGGGGAGATGATGTCCGCTATAACATCGGGCCCCCATTATACAGTCCTACCTGTAAAGATATGATCTGTGAAGATATGATCTGGGATATGATCTGGAAAGATATGATCTGGGATACTCACTTCATTAGCAGGCACATAGAGGTTTCAGACAAATTCTATTGACTTATTGACATTCCTACTATACCTAGTAATATTGTATTTATTATATTCTTTGCAAGAAATTAAAAGATGTAATATCCATGTATATTCTTGTGGCTATTGTATAAATTGTATCTAAAAATTTTTCGCTGTCTCAGGTTTTCTTAAATTTTGTCTCAGGATTTTTCGCTGTCTCAGGTTTTCTTAAATTTTGTCTCAGGATTTTTCGCTGTCTCGGGATTTCTTAAATTTTGTCTCAGGTTTTTTCGCGCGTCTCAGGATTCTTAAATTTTGTCTTAGGTTTTTTCGCTGTCTCGGGATTTCTTAAATTTTGTCTCAGGTTTTTTCGCTGTCTCGGGATTTCTTAAATTTTGTCTCAGGTTTTTTCGCTGTCTCGGGATTTCTTAAATTTTGTCTCAGGATTTTTCGCTGTCTCAGGATTTCTTAAATTTTGTCTTAGGATTATTCTGCTGTCTTAGGATTATTCTGCTGTCTTAACTTTTGCACCTGTGTCTCAGGAATTTTTGCAAATCTAATCCTAAGATCCGAGGCTGGGGGAGGCCTTCTAAAGTGGGGGACTGTGTCAAAGGCCTTACTAAAATCAAAATACAAAAGATCGACAGGAGCACCTTCGTCTAAAATATCAAGAATATTATCAAATGTCTCTAAAAGATTAGATAGACAAGATTTACCCTTCAAAAATCCATGCTGATGCTTTGAAATTCGTTCTTCTAAAAATGTTAATAAATGTGCCCTCACTAACTTTTCATACACTTTGCACAAAATACAAGTTAATGAGACAGGTCTATAATTTAAGGGATCAGATTTAACACCCTTTTTAAACAATGCTACAACAGATGCTGTCTTCCAAATGTCAGGCAGAACTCCTGTTTCTGAACATTTAACAAATAATTTAGTAACAGCTTCAACAAACATTTCATCGTATGCTAAGGATTTCAACAACTTTGGATGAACGCCATCTGGACCCGAACTCTTAAAAACATTAAGCTTTAAAAGCTGCTTCTTGATATCAGAACTGTTAATTTCCATATCATCAATAACCTCTTTGTTATAACTTAAACTCTCATTTTTAGGGAGAGGGCCAGGTGGTTCACGCACAAACACAGAACTAAAGGCACTAGCACTTGTACCTCAGCTGACTCAGATGAACTATCTGTGCGTGTACCATCTCCTCTATCTAAAGAAACAACACTTGATTTCACTTGTCGTTTATTACGCAAATACGAGTAAAAAGATTTACAATTCTGTTTTAAATTAGATGTAATCTTCTTTTCATAATTTACTTTAGCTTTAATTTCTGCCACCTCAAAAATATGCTGCTTGCTATTTGCACAGCTCAAGTTAATAATCGAAGGATTAATATCAAATTCAGCCCATGCTTTGTCCTTGTTCTTCCTCATTCTTTTAAGTGAAGTTGTACTCCATGGCAACTTGACAGGTCTGTTGTCGAGATAAACCGAAGCAGCTGGGACAGCTGCAGCAACAGACTCCAATTTACCATGTAGTTCAACCCACATATCTTGGACATTATTTGTACAACTATAATCCCAGTCAATATTATTCTTACTAAAGTTAAATAACTCCTCTGAGGAAATCTTACCCCAAATAGGCTTCAAAATCTTTTGTTTGGGACTTTTGTTAGTGTTGGGCGAAACGACCAGTTCGACAAGTATCCCAACATGATCACTCTTGCCAAGCGGAGAAACGATCTTACAACCGTTGACAAGAGCATCATTTGTATACAAAACCTGATCAAGAAGACTCTCCTGGAGAGTATCTTTCACAAGCCGTCTTCTGGTTGTTTCGTTAGTAAAGTACCACATCAAACCACTGTCATTAAATAAATCAATATACTTTTGTTGAATCATTAAAACCTGATTCTTACTAGAAATACCACTATTTACACTACCAGTTTCCCAAGATACATTAGGTAGGTTAAAATCTCCTATAATAATAGTTTCAAAAACATTCTTTTCACTAGATATGTTCTTGATGCAAGATAATAACATATTGTTCTGTTCTAAATTTAAAGAAGTAGACCTATAAATACAACAAATACTAATCAATCCACCAGAGGTATTGACATTGATAGCTAAAGAATCTGGTGCTTTTAAAAATGAGCTCACTAATGAAGCATTACAACTGTTTTTGATATAAATAATAGAACCTCCACCTCCACTTATGTTGCTAGTGGAGTTATCGATTTTAAAATCTCTGTCCTTTCTAAACATACTAAAACCTTCAATAAAAATTTCAGCATCTAAAATATCACTATTAAAATGAGTTTCTGTAATGCAGATTACATGAATGGATTTATAAACTGATAGAATACATTTTAGTTCATCAATTTTATTAAATAGTCCATTAGCATTAGTATAAAAAATATTCATGGGCTGACTACATTCTTTGTGAATGCTATTTATTTCTTCTCCACCTTCTTCTCTGTCTTTTTCTTCTCTGCTTCTTCCCGCCTCTTCTTCCTCTCTTCTCTGGCTAAAAAACGGATCTCTCGGTCTGCTCTGCAGAGATCCATATTTATCCAGTATGATGACTCTTTCCAGCCCTTGCCATGGTTGGAATAATAATTAACTGACTCCATGTCAGCTGTCTGGATGATCAATGGCCGACAGGAGTCTAGCTTATCTGGATCCACTTTACCTGCACGATGGCAACTGATAAAGTCCCTTTTTTCAATCTTTAGTGTCTCCTTGCAGAACTTTGAGTCCTCTTCCTGGCGTAGCTTGGTGTCAGCTTTCTTGCTCTCTGGAACATTCAAAACACACAGATTGAGCTTTCTTAAATTTCGCTCATATTCATCAGTGTGCATCTTTGTCTGAACTTTACTGATAACACTTTGTGAAGCTTGCTGTTGGCTCATTTCTTCCATAACTTTCTTCTGACTATTTGCAGTCACATCTGCCCAGGATTGGAAAGCCTGGTTTACTATTTTTGTGATTTCTTTAGGTTTTTCAGACTCGAAGTTAGTTGGAATGTTATCTTTTACTGCATTTTCAACCACCCCTCTGATACAAGGTGTAAGGACCTCAAGTTCCTGCCTAATAACATTCCGTAGTGTTTTTGTTTCTTCATTATCAGGGTTTGAGGTCTGAGTCCTGTTGCTTTTAATGTAAGGTGATATGAAACAATTTTGACAACGCCAGTTAGACAGACGGTCGCCTTCTTCTTGTGTCAGACCTGTCAGTCCAACACAGCAATAATGCCAGTACATATCACAGGATGCACAAGCTAATGAAAACTCCTCTTCAATATACCTTCTGCATTCACAACTACGATTTTCTTCATCTTCAGTTACATCCTTTTCTGCTGTAGCACCAGTTTTCTCTGGACTTTTCTTGACATTTCGTGTTCGTTTCGTATCTCCTCGTGTCATACCTCAAATTATTTGTTATATAGTAGTGTTGAAAGTATTAAAACAATTGTTTTAAGAACAGAGTAGTTTTAAAGCTAAACATTCGCAATTTGTCTTAACAGGAGTCTTGGGAGGATTATAAAAATGAAATTTAAACGTTTTAGTGGCGCATGAAGCCCGCGGCGTTCGCTGGGGTGCTTTTAAAACAATCTCGAAGATTAACTCAAACTGTTGTAGAAAAAGTAATTTAGCACGCTGCGCTCGCACTCTTTACAAACTATTATTATTAAAATACTAAACAACAAATTTAAGTTTTTGTGAACGACGCGACATTCGACAAAAACATTTTAAACATTTTTAAACAACTTTTGGTACCGCATAATAAAAGCCTTATAAACTGCAAAACTAAAGCTACATATTATTTTGCGACAGTTCAGCTAGTTGATGCTTGGGTCCGTGACCCCCTCAAAATGTTTGTCACGGGTTTAGTTAGTGGTCAACTGAAGTGCTATTTCGAAAACGAGTAGGGGGATCACGAGTGTTTTTGAATTTGAGAATTTGACCATTTTCGCCGGAAATAATCACGAGTATCACTTGTGATACTCCCCGGCCCTCGAGTATCACAAAAAAATTAAGGTGAATCCTCTTAAACTGAATAAAATACATAACCATATGCGCAAAATCCATTGTTAATTGTAGAGTAAGTTTTTAACATACGTTGCAGCTGATACAAAATGTAAAAACATCCTATCCTATATATGATATAACTTCCCTAGCGATTTTAATTTTCGAGTTATTCAATTTATATCACCGATAAAGGTATACAATTTTAATGAATTCGACTAAGTTTAATTCCGTATGTCGCTTTGAAAGATTTTCGATAAAAAACAATACGCATTCTAGCAACACACATTTAGTTAAATCCAATGTACGATGTACAATGTACATTGTACAATGATTACAAAGGGCCTGGGTTTCTAGATATAAATCTAGCAAATTCAACCTGGGTCACAGTTTAAATAAAGCGTTCCTAATTAACCATACAAATACAATCACCCTTAATTAGCAGTACTGAACACACTCCATCTCCTTCTCTTCAGCTCTCCTTTCAGCAGCTCAATTTCCTTCTGACTCCCCTTCAACATTCCCTTATTCTCGTACGCACGCCGGGACAGATACGGTAACACAGCCTCAATGGGTCCGTACGGTACGTACTTATAGCTGCAGTACCCACCTGCTCCTAACAAGTACGTGACTTGATCACACATTCCAAGCAGCTGTCCGAAGAAGATACCTCCGTTTGCCGGACAAATGCCAGACTGTCTCATTCGCTCCACAACGTACTGGATGGTGAATTCGTTGTGGGATGCTATCATCACCTGACATTTCTGACTTTCGATCTGCTTCAGGACGATTTCAACCATATTGTGGTAGCATGAGTTCGTGTGTGCTTTATCGGGGTATATAGGGTCCTCATTGTTAAGGTCGAGCGCACGTTGGCGTTCTTGTTCCATGTACGCGCCACGGACAAGCTTTGCGCCAAGTTTGTAACCCAGCACGTTCGCTTTATCTGCATCATAGATAAGCTGGGACGGGGTGGACTTAAGATAACACTGATACGTGTTGAACACGTGAACGTTTTCCTTGTTATATCGGGACATCATCTTGTTCGCAAAGTAGCCTATCATAGGTTGGAAGTAGGTCTGTTCAGCGTCGATGAGTATCTTGGCGTCCAACTCAACTGCGCGGTCGCACAGCACAATCAGTCTTTCTTCGACTCTATTAAGAGCTTCTAAGTGATCGGCACTCATTGTAATTTTACCATCAGGAAGATTGAGATGTGTTAACACGGTGTAGAGTGGTTTCTCAGGTGGACCAGGCATGCAAAATTCACGGAATCTGTGGTATTTAATATGGCCCATTTCATCCGGAGACATTGAATTAAACATATCTGTGATTTCACTTTCGTTTAAATCAGCGCCCAGACTGGTCAACATAGCTCGGAAATTATCGAGCGTCATTCTTAGTTCTGCAAGAAGTTCTTTGGGTCCTAGTACATCTTTAGGGAGGTACTTGGTGTTGATATAGGAGGGCAGCGTACCTTCAAACGTTTGGGAATGTTTGATATACAACTCCTGGATCCGATGCAAAAAATGAGAGCCTTCAAGCAGTGCGTTGGGTTTACTCAGACCTGTGACCTTGATGGCGGAGAATGCGTTTTTATCACAAACTTGGCTCGCTGTCTCCAAACATTCCAGGATCATTTTCAAGTTCTCCTCACAAATGTCTTCTCCTTTGTAAGGATAAGCTCGAGCTACCGCTTGGTGGGAATGGAATCCTGCTTAAACTGCACTTCTGTAACAGCAATCTCGGGAATCTCATCTGTTTCATCCTCCTTCAGATCTGCTTCAACTGAGTAATCCAGGATGGGCTTCACCCCGTACTCCTGCATTTTTGAGAGTTTTGGTCGTAGATCATTCACATCAGCTCCACCGACAAACTGACCATAAAATGTCATCCTCATAACAGAATCAAACATCTTTTTCGGCAGCATTATTTTGGAGAACTTCAAAAGTTTCTCGTTGTTATTTACAATGGAATCAATACCACACAGACGCAGCACAATACGGGATCTAAACAGTTCAAACATGTTTTTCGACTCATACGCTGCTTTCGCATCCTGGAAGTTCAGGAGAACGGGCGGAACAACGTGACTGTCAGTTTGTGCGTCAGAGCGTTTGTGACGGGCTGGAGTGCTGTGCTGAAGTTGGGGTAGAGCTTGCAGACGTCCGTATTGGGGAGAGCCCCCCAAACTTGTTGATCTCAGTACATTGTTGACTCTTAGCATCACTGTAAAACTGACATTTCATACGAAATTTATTATAGGAAAATACAAGGAATATTGTATCATAATATCAAGGCATCAAGCAACGCTTTGGACTTTCTTGATATGATAAATAAATGCCTCAATGTAAAATCTTGTCTGTAAAAGGTTCCAGAGGAACATCAAAGAGGAACAGCAAGCCACTATCACCAACGGTAAAGTTTCAAAATTATTATAACCATGTATCTCATAATATACTATTGGCAGAGAAAGCTGCGTTATAATGCATACTGCATAGGTTATTGAATAATCGCAAGCAGACATTTTTTGTTTGGGGACCAGCTTTTGGTACACTGGTTAATGTTTACTATAATGTTGAAATATTACATTAGAATTAGATAAATAAATAGAAAGATAGAACATACCACTATATCCAAAAATTGAAACACTGTACCGTAGCACACAACACAAAAAGTTAAACTACTGGCAAAGTGTCCTCAGAAAAATAAAAACCCTAAATATACCTAGCCTTGGTGAGACCTGCTTCGCGATTGCTATTCAGCGATGTGTGCTCCACAAGTCATCACATACCTGAGTTACAATCACGGTTGCAGTTTATTAACTCACAATTAAAAGTTCCTCGTTATTAGCCGTAATCAACAAATACACGCAACAGCCATAAATAAGAGCCATACACACATTTAAATCAAAGTAATTATGTAGATATCAAAAACACCGAATGTTACACCTTAACCTTATCTACACTGAAAATCTTGCCGTCTCTAATATAATGATACTTTGTTGGCTCATCAGTGATCATTTCCTTTACTTTGACAACAAGTTTCTGATGAGCTGCTCTCTCCTCCTTGCTTCTGTCAGGTGTGATGTACCATGTGTGGTACGCTGTACATTTAGATTTCTTCAGATTTCTTGCTCGAGCAAGAACCATTTTTACTGATTCCGCGCAAGCCAATGTCACTTTTATTGGTCTCGGTTTACCACTGCCTGAAGTTGTTTTAATCCCGATAGAATTTGCTGCTACAACTTTAGGATCACACCCTGAGGATTCCCAAATCAATTCGATCACTTCTTCTGCCACTAAGTGTGGATCAGGGGAGTAATTCTCCAGTACACCGTAGATAATGAAATTCTTACTACGGATGTCGTCTTCAACTACGGTTTTCACAGCTGTTTTTATACTGTTGATCGACGGAGTACTTGTAGTTGTCTCGCAGTTCTTCTTCACGATATCGCTCCACGCTGTCTTCATCTCGGTATGAACAGTTGTTTTAAAAGAGTCGAGTTGCTCCTGTTGCTGTTTAATCTGGTCTTTCTGATAGTTCAGCTGATCTGATTTAAGTTTGTCTATCGTACTGGCTGCACATTTACAAAGTTCAAGATTACTAGTCAATAGCTTAGAAAGATTTTCAACTGCAGTAGCCAAGGGATCTTTATTTACAGCCATTAATCTCGAATGATTCAGTTCTGTAACGCTTTGTGCTTTTGACATCTTCAAAATCTCATTCATCGCTGACGATAGCTCCTTTTCAAATCTGTTCAGATGTTCGACGGAAAAATCCATTTTACAAAAGCCAAGGCGTACAGCACGACGTGTCGGTGTAACAGCAAGTTGAGATAACACTACCGATAAGAGAGCAATTAAAATGTTGCAAAAGCTAGAATAAAAGATTGTAACTGAATAAAAGATTGTAACTGAGAATAAAAGATTGTAACTGAATAAAAGATTGTAACTGAATAAAAGATTGTAACTGAGAATAAAAGATTGTAACTGTGAATAAAAGATTGTAACATACTAGGCTTTTAAAGTAAGACTAAGTATGCATGACAATTTGTGAAATTAAATCTTGGAAAATTCAGTTACATTTTAATCACGAGACACGACTTACATTATAACTTTCAAAAGAATCTGCACGACTGCACCGAACAAAAAACTCTCCAAATGTGTCTCCTGTTCATGATAAAATTAGAGATACTCCTTACAAACTCAAGCAAACATCAATTAAGCACGGTGCGAAGTTAAAACTGACAGGATACAAGAACACGACCCAAATATAAATACAGCAGGGCCCTCGCCATAGGCCATACCTAATACAACAACTATAGCAGCCTCTAAGATGAAAATTAACACAAAAAATTAAGACAACAAAAAAAGGTTGGGTAATTTTTT